TCTCTCTCTCTCTCCCCCTCCCTATCTCTCGCACGTGCGCCCTCTCCCTCCGTCTCTCTTGCTCATACTCCTTTGATATCCACCGAGATCACCGCCGCACCTGTGTTACCACCATCAATACATGTCTGCTCGCAGCTCATCGTGAAGGCACGGCCTCCCTATCAAGGGAGGATCCAAAATCGCCTCCCATTCTGCTATCCCAGTCATTTTCCCATCATGCTCAACAGCTATAACCGAAAGTAACATCCACACAATCTTCTCCACTATATCCTCTACCCTTCCTGAATAGCTATCTGGAACATCCTCATGTACCTTGGTAACGAAAACAGATGCATCACGCAAATCCGCGCCCACATAGCCGAAACCTAACTCTAAGCGTAGCACCAATAACCCATTTGCATCCACTTCATACCGACGAAACCCATATCGATTGTCGGCGGTGACGAAGCCAAAATCCCGCTCCGGACGAAAATCTCGATGCTCTGTCATCTCGTAAATAACCACCGTCCGGCCTGCCACTTGCCCACGACATATCACCTGCGTGGCCATGGTTGCCCCGCACAAAGAACTGGTGCCACCCCCTACAAACACACGTACATCATGTCCAAATCAAACCTCCTTCCCACACCCCCGTTTCCCCTCTTCTCTTCCCCGCCCACCGTCGTATACTTCAAAAACACAATACTACCTTCCCCGATCACTACTCAAGCCCTCTCTCCTTCCCACAGTTTTATAACACACATTCACGTGCACATAACACATGTGCCCTCATTTCCACTCACTCTCATGCCCATACACCATAATCTTGCCTCGCCCCCTCCCTCCCGCATACTGATACACTTCCTCCTGCTTCCCTTTCGGTCTCTAAACTTCAAATCCCACTCGCTCTTACCTTCGCTCACCACAACTACTGTTTCGGCCAATATCGCCCTCTCTCCCTCCTTCTCGCTCGCTTTCCTCCTCGCTATACTTCTCCCACTGGCATGCTACCTCGCGCACACCTGCGCTCAGTCCCAACTCACCTTGCCCAGATGAGCCAACATGGTATCTTCCACCAGACAATCCGTTTTTAAGAACACCGTGCTCAAACATGGAGACACCACCTACCAATCACCAGTCTACTGATTCAGCTTACGCACACCTGTACGCACAACTTCTCTCCTCTTGCGCCCCTGATGAAGTTCTACTTTACGCACACCAACGCTCGACCAGCCTAGAGGCGTCAACAAGCCAATCTCCCTGACAAACCGGTTGCAAAACACCGAGATCAAACGAGGAGACACTACCAACCACTCTCATACCCATGCACAACCAGCACGCACATATATATACATAGGGAACTGCTGACTACATCCCTTACAAAATTTCGGGATGTCAACATTGGCCTCAATCCCTTCCAAACTAGGTCCCGACTATAACCTAGAAAACCCATGCATATGGACCCACCAATAATTTGTACCCGTTACACCTTTATGACTAAACCCCATATAACACCCCTAATTCAGAGCAATGAACAGATGCCAAATATAATAGTATGTATACAAATATACAATTCCACGAAACAAGTTGTCACAGCCCCCTGGCTGGTGCTCTTCTTTCCTTTGTTCTTTTTTCTTTTTTCCTTCGACAACGGTTACCGAGCAGATCCTCTTGAGATGATATAGATATACGAGCTACTGGACAATTATGTGGTGTCAGACTGTACAGATTATCAACTTTCGTGCACTCACAAATATATATATATATATATATATAGGGTTCAGCCTCCTGATGAGTCCGTGAAACTCCGACGAAACAGTTTGCCACAACCCCTCGTTTGTTGTCCTCTTCTCTCTCTCTGCCTACGGTTCACCGGGCAGTTCTGTTTGTGACGATATATATATATATATATATATATATATATNTCGTTTGTTGTCCTCTTCTCTCTCTCTGCCTACGGTTCACCGGGCAGTTCTGTTTGTGACGATATATATATATATATATATATATATATATATATATATATATATATATATATATATATATATATATATATATATATATATATATATTCAGCCTCCTGATGAGTCGGTGAAACTCCGACGAAACAGTTTGTCACAACCCCTCGTTTGTTGTCCTCTTCTCCCTCTCTGCCTACGGTTTACCGGGCAGTTCTATTTGACGATATATACATATACATATACATACGTTATACACACACACACCTAAATAAAGATTAATAAAAATAAAAATAAAAATAAAAATAAAAATATAAAAATATATATTTTTTAAAATAATAATAAAAATAATAAAAAAAAGTAAAATAAAATATAAAATAATTAAAACAAAAACATTCGTTTACAAACTGTTCCCGTCCCAACGAACCTCGTTGTACAACATTTTGCACACATGATACCATACTCAGTTGCAAAATAGCACTCCGGCCTTAACAGTCAAATAGACCAATAAAAATATTAGTACAAGGAACCACACTCAGATGCGGTGGCCACACCGACCTCAACAAACGAACAAAGCAATTGTCTACCCGTTCCGGAAAAACTCTTATGTCCAACTCTACGGTTGCCAACAGAGGCCTTTCGCCCTACCAAATTACCCTATATACGGCACACTTAAACTACCAACCCTATAATGTGCTCTGACCCACAGATCATTCAGCACCCGACCACAATAATACATACAGGCCCAACTCAGCTCGGGGAGACACAAACCCATAACAGCCCCATACCCAAATCTTACAACCAACCCGATCCTCCTTTAAACCAGCCACCAACCACCTTACATAACAAACCTTTAAGAACATGAACCCGCCCAATTAGTACATAATCCCCACCGAAAGCTCATTTCTATCCCTGAACAATAACCACAGGAATACTTACTTTCGCCTACCATTCAATCACCTACACCTACTAACCCTCACCGTACCATGTCTGCCAATCGTTCCTGCAGGACGACACTGAAGCAGCCAATGGATGGCACCATGAGCTCGCAAAGAAAGCCAAAACCTTCATCCACCTCGCGCCCCCCAGCGTACACGCACAGATCGCCATGCTCGCCCTTCCAGGGCAGATTCTCCTGAAGGTTCACAATGCCACCAACTCGCAGTCTCCTTTCCTCATCGAGAACCTGCTCTTCTCGGACTGGGCGTTGATCGTGTCTAAATGGGCAACACTCAGAGAAGACGAAGACCCCATTATCCAAGCATACGCCAAAGATATATCCGACATCATCAAGCAGGCAGCATTGCAGAATCGGGAAATGGAAAAGATTGTAGCCAAAACTGAGAAGGTCATCCTCGATCTTCATGGCTTCAACTCTGCACACCTCAGCACCCCAGGTGAGGTCTCTATATCCAATGGATCCGACGAGCATAGGCTTAAGATGCTCGACCACCTCAACCCCTCGCAGGCCGAAAGAGAATGGTATTTGAAGAGGATTGCGGAGATGCAACAACAAGCAGCAAAGCCTGTCACCTCTACGCCAACACCTCGCAAATCAAATCTCTTCAAGATGTCATCCGATGCAACCTTCATCCCCGTACAAACCGCCAGATGGATTGAAAGCATCAGTAGCAGCTATGACAATAAGCTATGGCTACTCGATTCCTTCAATCACACGACTCCGATCTCCATACAGGCATACGCTGCGCTAGCTAACCTCTCTGAGGTAGACCTTGCGGAATGCAGGGACGATGCACAGAAAGCCAATATCTGCAAAGTGGCAATAGACGCCAACATCCCCTTTCTTGGTCCATTAGACACCTTCAAATGCCCCAAATGCCACCCACTCCTCCACCAAAAAGCAATACAGAAACCAACCACTGAACTGTATGAGTTCAAAAAGTTGTGGAATTCAGGTAGACCATACCTGAAATGCAATTGCCCGACACACAGCGGGGTGATCACTTGGTTTGATCACATGCTGTGGTTCTACATCGCCAATCTGGACATATTCGAGGCGGATGTCCCCTCAGATATGATGAGAATGGTCGAGCTCACTGACAAACTGCAGAGCGAATGGAAAAAACCTGTTAAACTACAGGTCACCTTCCTCTACATGCGCCGACACATGATGAATCTCACTCATCTGCTGGTGGCTAGCCCACAATCCTCCATGGAACAACTTTGCGACAGGGCCCCTTATAGGGACATGCCCCTGGCTAGGAAAATCCTGGCCACCCTGCTCCCCGCCACCAGCAAGAATCTGACTAGAGACCCAACACCCAGCAAGCGGAAAAATCACCCGACCCCAGACATCATTCAGCGAAGCAGAAACAGGCAAACAACCATCCCTTTCACCACGCCTCCTGCCGCCCAAACCCACACAGCAGTAACATCATCCCAACACCCCCCTCACCAACACACCTCCGAAAGCCCAGCTCACCACCAGCCCTCACAACACACACCCACCCAACCCCCGCCCTCAGCTCAACACCAGGCAAGCGTAACCCCCCTGCTGCAACCCACACCCCAGCAACCACCGGTACCCAATGCACAGACCCACACCCACGAGCGCCCAATCGCAACACGTCCCAACAACCACAGAGCCAAACGCAACACAACGAATGCCCCTCCAAGAAAATCTCAGAAAGGAAGATGGCAAAAACGAAAGGAAAGACTCGCTGCAGCAAGGAAAGCACAACAACAAGCCAACCCCCAACAACCACCGCCTCTTCCCCAACAGCAAGACCCAAATGCATGACAGCCCAGCCAACGTGCACATGACCACCTTCCCCCACGCAGCAACCAAGCACCTGCACTGCTACAAGACTCCAGGCCCTCAAGCATGAACCTCCACCATCCCGATAACCCCCAGCTACCTGGCAACCCCACAACACAACCTCCCACAACACATGCACAACAGTTCATCCGCAGCATCCTCACCGTCTGCATGCAACAGCCCAACGCTGCGACCCTCCTCCCTCTGCCTGCTCCAGTTGCTGCACCCGCTGCCTCCCACAATGCACCACAAACCAGAAGCTGGCTGCCACCCATTCACCGATTCCTCTCCCAACACCGACAACAATCAAGGACTGCAACCTCTACTAAACAAGGAAACGGACGGCAAAATCCAATCATCCTTCCCTCTGGGTCACCACCTAGAATCCGCAATGACATAAGCGTCCTCCTTGAGCCGTATGACGTTCAGTGCTCCCTGATTGACCCCAACCTTGATGAGAGCTATTCCACAGATATTGTACACGAAACCCCCGCAACACAGGTCACGAGCAAACCCACTAGAAGAAACCTCACTGAAGATTTCGTACACAACGAACTGACACATATGGATTAATGAACCGTATATATCTCAAGGCGGTGAGCCCTTGATGCGTGCAACGCCCACCATGGTCTACTTGAAACCGATAAGAAAGCTATATGCTTCCCATCAAGCGCCATTCCAGAGACAAAGTGCAACACAAGCCAGATCCTTCAAGCAGTACTGCACTCATATACGACGATGACGCTGAAGGTCAAGCCAAGATGTCCTGCTGATATCGAACGTTGAAGAACTACTACCACTTCAGTGGCACCATAATGAGGCCTGCATTTCTAGACAATAGGACACTGACTTCCCCGCCTATCCATGTACAACTTCTGTGTTCGCGGACCATGCCTCTGAGAAGAGCCGGCCCTTTGATTTTCATACATTAAGTGTAGAGCTAATCATTGAATTTTTGCATCGACAGTCTTTGCTTAAATACTGTTTTTACGATTCCCCTCTCTCCCCTCGCACACTCTTTCCCTCTGATGCATTCCCAGACAATTGAAGGCACTGACCGCCTTGCCTAGCAGTAGACAACTGCGGAGTTTGTTGCCCACCCAATCTAAATGTCAGGCTTCCATATGCCTGCAATAATTTTTAGAATTGATCATCGACATTGCCTCCTTTTTGCAGAAATTGAATCCCCTCCATCCCCTTTCTCTCGCTCTCGCCCCCTCTTCCCCTCACACACTCTCTCTCTCTCTCTCTCTCTCTCTCTCTCTCTCTCTCTCTCTCTCTCTCTCTCTCTCTCTCTCTCTCTCTCTCTCGCGCGCGCGCGCGCGTGCTCTCTTTCTCTCCCCCCTCCCCCTTCCAACCTCTCTCTCTCCCTCCCCTTCGGCCCTCCCTCCCGTGCGGAGTTTGTTGCCCACCAAATTTATAATGCCAATCTTCCATATGCCTGCAATAATTTAGAATTGGTCATTGACATTGCCTCCTTTTTGCAAAAATTGAATCCTCTCCATTCCTTTTCCACGCTCTCTCTCCCTCTTTTTCTTTTTTCTCTCTCTCTCTCTCTCTCTCTCTCTCTCTCTCTCTCTCTCTCTCTCTCTCTCTCTCTCTCTCTCTCTCTCTCTCTCTCTTGCTACCCCCCTTCCCCTTCCAACCTCTCTCTCTCCCTCCCCTTCGCCCCTCCCTCTCCCTGAACCTTTACCACCACCCGTCACCCTTGTGTCCCTCACCTATCTCATCTCCCCCACCCTGAGCCTACATCCCTCAACACTCCCCCCGTGTAACCGCTTTCCTCGACTCACCAATGTATGACTTGGTTCCCTCTCCCTTGCGTTAAACTAATTGCATAAATAACCCTATATTCATGTCGCTTACAGAACAACTGCACTAAAACCTCACCACACTTGACGATGCTCAACTGCTAGATTAAACACTACCCAGTATACTCACATACACTCCCCCCACCTATAGAAAAATACAGCCGCCACCTGCCAAGAGGCGTTTACAAAAAACAAGTAAGCATGTACACCCTCTTACATAATAAATAACACCCAAACACCCCTAGCCCAGCTCCTCATATATACATACAAACACACACATTTGTGTAAAAGAACAATTTCTAACACAAGATCCTTCTTGACCTTGGAATGCAGGGAACCCCCCGAAGACTGCAACGACTGCCGCATGGCAGACTTGGATGGCGAAACATCAAAGAGCGACCCAGACACATAGTACACCTCCACTATAAAAACCGACTATATGAACGGGTTAAACCCAGAGCCCTGTTCGAATCTATCATAACCAAGTTCATCCCACAAGCACAAAATAGCCTCGGTTCACCTTTGGCTAGACCTATGATAACCACATTGCACAAATGTTATACAAACCAGCTCAGGTCTTCCAGAAATTTGACCTCGAAAGCTGGTCCTAACAACAAATTGGCCAATGCTACTGTCAACAACCACGCTTCAACCAATACCACACCCAACTAGCAGAAGGATTGCTCCCGGACCATATAGAACCACATGTCGTCACATTAGATACGGGCATCTTCACTAACGCCCACCTTAAAGCCATCATTGATGCAAGGCTTAGTCACATTCCCTTGACACAAATTAACCTACCAGAAGTACGACATGAGTGCATCAAAGCATGGGACACAGTAGTCAGCATCCTTCAAACAGAATACACGATACTATCAGAACAAATAAAAAATGCAACAAAAGAACTCCATAAAATACTCACAAATATACTACGGAGATATCCAAAGAATAATGCGCCCAACCTACACAATCATGCAATTAAAAAACAAATAGAATATATTACTTCTCACTTCTATATATCAGAACTGGACAAAGCCCCCAACACACCGAGCCTCTACTGTATCAACCTACTCAGATTCCTTGCGCTCCAACGACTCACCGGCCCAGACTTCACTCCCGTTCCCATAAACAAAAATGAAATATTACACAAACTCACATCAGAACTCACTACACATTTTCCCTCGATACCCACTGGCAAACCCGCAATACCGTACCTCTTTGCTACACATAAAAAACACAAAAAAACATTTCGTTGGCTCACCAATGCTGCCGACGTTATGCTCTCCCCACTTGCTGATGCCTGCTCTGTAATCCTCAGCAAGCTCAAACACGAAGTTCAAGAGCATTGTGGACAGCTCACTGAACAAACACTCCATAAAACTGGACACAGGGTTCCTTTCTGGTGGATAATCGATTCTACAACTGACTACATCTATAACATACCCAATCAAATCCACAATGTGTTTGCTGCTGACAACTCACGCTGTTACGAAACCATCCCAATCAACCAATCCCCTGATAGCCTCCCCAATGCAATCAACTTCTTCGTTCGGATTGCCTTCGCCAGCGCAAGAAAGACGTATGGCCGACATGCTACATTATACCTCACAAGCAAAACTAGCAGAGACCCCCCCACCTTTGACTGCTACTGGACTGCACACCTTGACCCCACCAGACAGTCCTTGACCATTACTGACATACTCCACATGAATACCTGGCTTATCAACAATGCCTATACATCTCTCGGCAACCATATATGGAGACAAATCTTTGGCATTCCCATGGGGGTTAGCTGCTTCCCCATATGGTGCAATATATATTTCTTTATGTTTGAATACAAATTCATGAGGAAACTCACACACAACAGAAACAAACACCTGCTTCCACTGTTTGCACACACATTCAGATATTTTGACGACCCGCACACGATCA